ACCCCATTGCCGTCAACGTCGCCAGCAGAAACCTGGTATCTCGATGCTGATGGTTGCGGCTGCATAGTAATCGCTGATTTTACTGCTGGTGGATCTTCTGAGAGCCCTTCAAAGTTTATAAAACTCAGTTTCCAGGTGGTCAACATACATTAAGTTCTCCCAATCGTAGTATTCCATGTGATGTACACCTGACATGCCAAAAATGTTGTTGAACGATTTGAACTGGATAAAAATAGCAGACGAAAATGTGTTTACAAAATAAAAATAGTTCGGTAGCCAATGAAAATACCATGTTCATTTGCATATCGACCGTGAAAATACCGAAAACATTATTGCATGGGTGATATGCAAATTAGTTTGGGCCAAAATAAGTGACTGCCTAAAAGTACCATTACTGTTGTTCAAATTTCATTTCACTCGGCAAGTATATTCATGTACCCCAAGGGGAAAATATCATACTTCTAAATATTATTTATTTCGAAAAACTGTACTCCTGAAGGGACTACTTTGTTTGCTCTCAGACCTCATTTGCATATGGGTTGTGGAAATACCGATTTTGATTTCAGGGACGAATCAAAATACACTGCAGTACATATGTAATAATAACTATTACTCTATCAGCGGGTTCAGTATGGTAAATAAAAAATGGGTTACTGGCCTTTTTTCACAAGGTATTTGTGACTAAATAGCTTGCACTGATCGAATACATATGCAAAGAATGTGTTTCTACGTGAAGAGTTTCTGTGTTCAGAAACACTCTTACTCAAGTGTATTTCGAATATAAATTATATCATTTCCTAAATTTTCTGTCACTTTGCATAGAAATTCATGGAATCATACTTGATACATGAGAGGAGAAAAAATGAATCCTGAAAAATAAAGTAATTCTGAGATATTTTCCAAATTGCCAATGTATTCGGGCATGGCTATGTTTAAACTAGCAAAGTGAAATTGTAGCTAACATCTTTCACTGTTTTCTTATCAGTTCCACCAGACAACCCACAGATAAGTGAAGGTGAAGCGGCTATTTCAGTTGTAGCTGGTGTTACACATAATTTAACCTGTACGTCAAATAATGGCAATCCAGCTGCTAGCATTACATGGTTAAAAAACGACGAGGAAGTGACTAGTGATTTAATATACAAGAGTGAACCAGCAGGTACGTTTATCTGGTAGCAGAACGCTGCATACAATAAGATAAGACAAACATTATTACAGCTAAACAGAAAAAATATATTTCCATTTGAGTGGGAAAATGTAAAGAAAGACGATGAATCAGTATGAATCAGTACCGTTAAAGTCCTAATATAAACCGCATACGTAATAGTAACCGCACCCCCAATTCCGGCTTCGGGGTTAAAGAGTTCTTAACAAAAATTGAAAACTTGAAAAGTACCTATTACTAACCGCACCCCCAATTCAACAAGACCGTGACGAACTTCATTGTTTCAACCAGCTGTTCCAAAACGGCATTGTTCCTAATCCTATTCTTTGTTTCGACAACATGCCTAAAAATATTCACACCTATTTATTGTTCAGCGGTGATAAGATGTCAGACAGGCAATGAAACTGCTTTTGTTCTGGCGGCGACCTCTGTCAATACTCTTTCTGAATACGTCTGTGTTTCGTAAGTTTTAGACAATGAGCTTTTATCACCGTAAAAGTGTTAAACTGAGCATTGAAGACAATTTATCTTTTGAAAACAAATAATTTCTTGATTTAAAAAAATAATCATGCCGTTTTCCCATGAAATCAAAGCAAA